ATGGCGCTGTCCCCGCGGTGTCCCGGCCCGGCCCCCCCGCGGCCTGGCCCTCTCCGGACGCCTCTCTCCGCTTCTTGCAGCTCCCCGCCGCCGCAGCCATGGCCGACGAGCTGGACTTCACCACGGGCGACGCGGGCGCCTCCTCCACCTACCCCATGCAGTGCTCGGCGCTGCGCAAGAACGGCTTCGTGGTGCTCAAGGGGCGCCCCTGCAAGATCGTCGAGATGTCCACCTCCAAGACGGGCAAGCACGGCCACGCCAAGGTGGGTCCCGCGGCCCCGGGGCCTGCCCGGGGCTGGGGTGGCGCGAGCGGTTGTAAAGGAGAAGGCAAGGGGCTCGGGTTTGCTTTTTGGGGTGATTTTGATGGTGGCCMAGCGTGGCTTTGGAGCGGGGCCGGCGTAGGTTCTGGAAGGAGGGGCTGGTGGAAAGGCCAGGCCGTGGGTGCGGTTGTGCTCGCCCTCCCGAGCCCGCCTGCGATATCGGCCCGTGCTGCTCGCCCGCGCCCACCAGAAATGGCCCTGTTCTGTTACATAACCCGGAGGAGCGCCGTAGATAASGGTATCTCTGCGGGCCTGCGCTGGCCCTGTTTCGCTCGCCGCCTTCTTGCGTTTCCCTGGCACCAGGTTAGGCCGCCGTCCCCGTGCTGCGTCCCAGCAGGGCCCTCCTTGGTGTGCTGGCCGGGCTGCAGGCGTCCTGCCGGAGCAGTTGGCTTGTGCAGCTGTCCAGAGTTTGGATCCTGGCTAGCCTTTCCCTGAACTTACTCAGCAACACTTCGTGGTGGCTATATTAAAGTTCAAGAGCAGAGAGATCTGTTACAAGCCTGCCTAAATAGGTTCTTAGGTTTCTCAGCTTGCAGAATGCATGCAAACCAGGCCTATGGTGTTTAAATGCTGTAAGCATATGTTACTTATATGGGGGGAAAAAAATTGCCCCTTCTTCTCTCAGTTCACTTTTGAGTGTTTCAGATTATGTTGTGTCTGACTCGATTTATTAAATACCAGAACTGTTGTGAGATTGAGAGGACACAGTAAGAGTTTAAGGCTATAAACTAGAAACCCGTGTGCCTGCTGCAGTGCTGCTCCTAGTATAAAGGCCGGTTGCTTTGCTTTTTGTGCAGCTTCTTTTCACTTTAACCTCACATTGTCACTAATGCCGTTGCATTTCCCAGAAGAGCCAGAATTTGGAGTATAAGTGTTTTTAATAGCCACATCTTTACGTTGAGCTTTAATTATATATTATATATGGTGAAACTGTCCATGAAAAAAGGCTAATGTAAATTCTCATGCAGTGTTTCTATAATGTGCATGCAAGAGTGTTTCTGAAAGGCCTGCTCTTTAGGCCTCAGCTGTTTTTGTATCGYAAGCAAAGGGTTTGGGTAGAATCTTGTAGGCTGTTTGTAATCTCTGATAGAGCTACGTGGAGCTAATGATACTGAGAGCAATGATATCTTATTCTTCCAGGACCAGCAATAACTCATTTCTGTGTTTTTCTTGTAGGTCCACTTGGTTGGTATCGATATCTTCACTGGTAAAAAATATGAAGATATTTGCCCTTCAACTCATAACATGGATGTTCCAAATATCAAGAGGAATGATTATCAAGTGAGTTAACGTGATCTTCCTCATATTAAAGAGCTTTAGATTTSTAATAACACAAGTAAACTCTCTTCATCCTGAAACTGCTTGTCAACTAATAAAGTGCTGTTGTCAGAAAATGGGAAAATGATGGTTCAGTGAACTTGCTACTAGATCAGTGGTGCTGTGTCTAAATGGGCATTTACTGAATTGTTAAAGCAGTGGGAGCTCACTGATAGAGAGCTCCTGTATTGCAGACTGCTCATTGTAGAGGTAGCCTTTAGAAGTACACAAATGAATGGCCCAAGAGGTTGTGTTCAGAGCAGTGTTTGTTGTAGCTTGTGTTATAAGATCACACTCTTCTCCTTGCAATGCTGGAGTTCTTCAGAATCTGGAAAAAGGTTGCCTCYGCTCTGGCTTCCTATTAGCTAAAGAATAGCGAGATCTCTCTTCAAATGAATGTGAATCTAAGCATATATTGTCATTTAAATTTCACCCTTAGGGTATGTGAATCAACAAGACGGTCCTAAGCTGCATCTGATGCCAGTTCTAACTTGAAAGTGCTTCTTGCTTCTGCTGCAGAATCTGGCTGCAGTTGATCTGAAGTAAATAATGGGATTCGGTGATTCTTGAATAGCAGATTGTCTTTTGCCATGGTTGCCTGTGGCTATTGGCACTCTAAAATTGTTGTTAAAAATTAACTGACATTCTTAACTGTTACAAATACAGTACTTCAAAAAAATATTGTAACAGTTTATTGTGTCTTCTGCTTATCTTAACACTGTGTACTAGTGACTACTAATGTTGAGCTTCCTAAAAATGAACTTCTCTTTATAGCTCATTGGTATTCAGGATGGATATCTCTCCCTGCTGACAGAAAGTGGTGAAGTTCGTGAGGATCTAAAGTTACCAGAAGGTGATCTTGGCAAAGAAATAGAAGGAAAATTCAATGCCAGTGAAGATGTGCAGGTAAGTGTAGCAGATGAGAAGAACTACAGTAAATTCCACCTCATGCTACCAAGAACTGTCTTATTCTGATCCTTACCATTTATATCTCTTTGTGAGTAGAGGTTTGGAGGTATGGGAGCCAGCTCTTTGAGATACAGAACCATCCACCTATTGGAGCACTCAGTCTGGCTCAGCTGATATTGAGGCTGTATAGGTGCATCCCAAATGCTAGATACATCATGGTGCYGTGCACACAACGTAGGTCAGCACGGTGTGGACTGAAGCTCCAGTCTTACCTAATCAAGATAGTGCAGAGCTGTAATAATTGTCAAAAACTTTAGGGCTGGCTCTTGACTAAAACATGTTTTGATCTGACTGTGGAGGTATGTTAAGTCTAATTCACTGTACTAGCAAACTTGTCTGCAAGTAGGTGTGTAGACTGTAATCTGTAGCAGACTGTGTACAGTACCAGTTGCTGACATGGCTTTGTTGTAGAAGCATGTTTGCTTTCCACTGTTGCATGAACCACAAGCTGCCAGCTAAAGCAATAAGGCAAAGAGAAGGTGGCAGAAGAGCAAACTAGTGTGAAGGGCAAATATTTAAGTCATGGGGCAATTGAATCACCTGCTTTGGCCTTCCCTTCTCCTCAGATAAGAGATGGGATAAATACTAAAATCGAATGTGTCTAGCTTCTCTGAGTGTTTCCTGTGGCACGTGTTGGAGCTCACCTGTCTCTCTTTTCTTCCAGATATCTGTCATAAGTGCAATGAATGAAGAATGTGCTGTAGCCATAAAGCCTTGCAAATAAAGAGGATCTCCAGGCTCGGGCAGCTGCTCAGGTCTGGACAAATCACAGATCTTTAAATTTTGTTCTGATTGTCACCAAAGCTCTGGCCTTCACAAGCAACCTCATTTCTTTTTTGAATTGTTAAAAAGCAGTGCTGGATTCTGGATTAGTGTTGCAGGCTAACTGGCAGTTTTCAAAATCACTGAGATTTTAATTCCTTAATTGTAACTATTTTAACATTCCTGTGGGTTTCAGCTATGGATCTGAGAAACCAATCAGGTGTTATTAGTGGATATATTTTTATTTGCTTGAGCAAAACAGTGTTTGTCTGTATGAACAGACAAAATACAGTATTCAGGGGCTTTTAGATAAGCTAGTAGGTATCTAGGATTATAAAGTGACCTAGAGCACAAATAGTATTTTTCTTGGCATATTTACGTAGAACTGACAATAAAAGTAGGGTTTTTTCTCTTTTTTGTTCTTTTTTTTTCTTTTTTTTTTTTTTTTAAAGAAGCTTACGTATTTTGTGAATTGGGACTCTTGCAGAACTGTAGGTGCCAATCACAAGTTTTAGACCAAGAAACTCAAGTGATCAAAAACGCCAGCTGGCTTGACAAAGCCCCTGTGGCCATGTGCAACTTAACTGTATTACCTCTGTACTCTTCTTTGCCAATTTTTGGCTTATTGTAATGTTAAAATGGTGTCAAAGCCTACCTTTGGTTTAGGCAGGCATTGGAGTATTGGGTAGATGCGATATAGGTAGGTTAAGGGGATACAAAGGTGAGATGGATGTTAAAGCTATAGACTTTCACTCGAGGCCTTTGTCAGACTTGAAAAATAAAAACAGAAAAATGCAGTTCAATTGCTTTCCTCTATTGTATTTATCTGAAACTATAAAAGGGTGACAAACTCCATGGGAATCTGTTGCAGTGCTTCCAGCTCTAGGTTTTAATCTTCAGGTTGAGACCATTTTTGTAGCACAAGGTTTTTCAAAAAGTGGGGCATATTGTAGCATTGAGCCTAAACTAAATGCATGTGATTCTTTTTGAAAGTAGATCTATAGTATTGTCAAGACAAAGACTTGACAGACAATACAGAACAACCATAGCTGACTTACAGAAGTAAGTGCTCCATAGTTTAGAAAGCTGGCTGCTATCCATAGAAGTTTCTCAAGTCATTAAAACACATATGCATGCCTCTAACTTGTTAGCAGCTTAGCAGGCAAAGGAAGCTTTACAGAACTAGTTGCAGAAGGATAACTAGTCTACTCCTGTTTTTGTTGCTCCACTTGATAGTTAGTGTCCCTTAATAAGGGAGGAACTCCTTTGCCCGTGGCTTAAACCTCTCTTCACAGTTCATAAACTGAATTGTTTTGTAAACTTGCCTTAAGCTTCAGTAGCTATTGGCTAATTGAGGACAACCTGTGAGCGGTTGGCGTGMTGCCCTGGACAGCGTGCACTGTTTGTGCTCTTTCGGCAGCAAGAGTGAGACTTCACGTTGCTGTTAACTACTTAAAATGTTTGGAGCTTAATACTATGTACTCYTTAATTCCCAAAGGGCTCACAGCCACTCTCCTGATGTGCCCTTGTACCTGTCCTTGTACCTGCCATGTTGGGGCTTAGCAAATCTTGGAGGTCTAGTAGAGGTGGCAAAAACATGCATTTTCCATAGCCTTCTTGTGGCAGGGAGAGGAGCACAATGAAGGTAAAGACAGCAATAAATCTCCTCCGGTAAGGAAGCGCAGTTCCCTGTGAAAGCTGGCAGGTGGAGGATAGTGCTGCATGCTCTCGCCCAGCACAGTCAGTGTTGTAGGTGAGCTCTACAAATAGCATCTTGACTGAAATGACAAAACTGCTTTTAAAAAAGCCATAGACGCAAGAGATTGAAATGCATTCAGAATAGCTAGAAGTGCCTGCTTAGTAGTCTAATCTGCAGTATATGCTCTTTCTGGCCTCTCCGTCATACTGATAGCTGAAAGAGGCCTTGTTTGGTTTAGAGATACYGAAACCATTACTAATGGTGTTAATGATGTCCAGTGGGAAGTCGTAGGCCACTGCTTCAAACTTAACAAAAGTTCTAGATGCTATCACTGTATTCAGAATACTTCTAAAATGCTTGAAAATGGTAAGATTTGTATTTATCCTTACAAGAGTGCTTTCATCCACTCTTGTGTGACTGTCCTTCAGAACATGTGTTACAAGCTAGGGATTTGATGCCACGGGCCCACAATCTTAAGCATTTATTTGGACTAAGTTCTTTGGGACAAGGGCTGGTGTTTTCTTTTTGGTTGGTTGTTTTTTTTTCTAATTTCTGCAGTAGGTCCTGATCTGCCTGATATTTTCAGGTACTACCGCAATCTAAAGATACAGTTTTGGTGAGCTCCAGTTTATTGGAATAGCCCTTCCTGGGACTTAAAGATGTCCTTCTATTCCTACCTTCAGTTCTGCAAGATTTAGATGGTTCAGTACTTCAGTAGAGGTTTGTGCTATTTATATACTTGTCTTTTGTGAAGCACTTCAAATGCTGTGGAAGTGCAGAGCATCRGCTCATCATGCATGAAGCTTCCCACAGGTAAAGCTTGTGGTTTAGCATGAGTCTTAAGCATAATCTCCAAGTTTCAGTAAGAAGTTGCTCCTAAATTAGAGGAAATATTTCAGCCATTTCTTTCAAAGTAGGACATTTCAGTTTACTGTCAGAATCATTTGCAACAAAATTTTGTTTGTGATCAGTAGTCCATTATGAGTGCGTATTTAAGATCCCTGTCAAACATTTAGTGAAGTTCTGCTCTCAGAGCTTTACATTAAAACAAATCTTATCCATCTACATGTTTTGTAGCACTATTTTAATACTTTAAGCTGTGTCAGAAACAAAAACTACAAAATTCTAGTAGCTGATGCAATTGCTTAATATAAAGGCTGTGAAAACTAAGAGGTGAAGAAAAGTATTTCTGCTCCTAATAATGTTTTTTTCTTTATGACTCCAATTCAGTGAGTTTGTTATTACTGTACAGAATTAAGAAGACTGCAGTGTTTCCTGCCTCAAATGTTGGCAAATAATATTTCATGATTTCAACAGATCCTAATTTTTGCTTGTAATAGTGGTTTTTCAACTAGGCTGTTGCTAGTTGAGCCATGTTCTCAGGGCTGATTTTTGGTTTTTTCTTTTTTTAAAAAAAAAGTTGGCTGAATTTCATTATTTAATGTAACTGCTTTCAAGCCTCTTGCAGGTTTTTCTAATCCGTAATGTACCCCAAAAGGTGCAGTTTCACAACACAGGTTATTTTACATAGTCTAAAGAAGTCAACTTGACAATTCAAACTTATGGTTACTGCAGGTCAGTCTTACAGAATTCAAAAGCCAATAAAGCTGATTTGTCTTTTGTTTTTGGTTGAGTAATTTAGAATGTAGTTCGTTACAGTAGAATTCAACTTCAGAAGGGGGGGAAAAAAACCCCACCTTGTTGGGGATGTTTGGAGTATTTTGATGCCAGGCCGGGAGCCCTCCCGAAGGCGTCGGGCGCTGTGGAACCCTCGGCCGGTGCGCGGGAGCCTCCAGCCGCTCCGGTGCTCTCGCCCTGACGTATTTGCCATGGAGAGGAACCGCTTGTGGACGAGACGCCCGCTCTGTACCGGGGATACCCCCGTTCCCGGCCATCTTGTTGTGCTGCCAGCACCGCCGTGGCTCTGCASGGCCGGGGGCGCCTCGTGCCGGTGACGGGAGCGAGCGGCGCCAGCAGCAGCGCGAGCCGCGCGCGGGAGGGCGGCCCCGGCTGCCCGCAGGCACCCTGCTGTGTGCGTGTATTTGAAGATGTGTTTTTAACACCATTAAAAATGATAATTTGGAAGGTACACCTGTCTGTTTCCCACTTCAGAAATAATAATAATAATAAAAATCTCTGTTTATGAAAGGTTGTGTGGTGTTCAAGGCTGTGGGGCTTGCAGAAGGGGATCCTTTCTGGAGGGATGGGTGCCTCTGGTTACAACAAGAGGGAAACCGGTTCGACAGCGGCTCCCCGTTCTCGTTTTCCCTTTTTCCCCGGGCTCCTTCGCAGGTGGAAGGASGGGAAGGCGCTCGCGGCGCCGCGGGCTGGAGGCGGTTGGGAGAGGAGGGCGCCGCTTCCCGCCGCCAGGCGCCGCTGCCGCCCCTCAGCGCGCAGGCGCGCGCAGGCCCCGCTCCGTCTGCGTGAGCGCGCCGTGACGTCAGGGCGCGGTATAAAAGAGCGCCGCGCGCGGCCGTCCCTCCTTTCCGCAGCCGCGCCGGGACGGACATGGCGCCGGTGCGTGAGAGCGGCCGGGCCGGGGCGGGGAGCGGGACCGCGGCGGGGAGCGGGGACACCCGGCCGGGCGCGGAGCCGCCGGGCGGGCCGGCGCGCGGGGACACGCGGCGCTGACACACCCTTACTGTGATTTTATTTGTTACTAATCAGCAAAAGGACAGAAAGTCGAAAAAGGCCACGTGGAAGTTCTGCCTGGACTTGACCCATCCCGTCGAAGATGGCATCTTTGACTCCGGGAATTTCGTAAGTGGCGGTTTTGACCGGGTAAAACCCATTCCCGCCCGGTGGCTTTTGGGCCGCTTTGGGCTGCTTTTGAAAAGCTTTTTTTTTCCTTTTTTTTTTTTTTTGGGGGGGGGGGGGGGGTAAAAGGGGGTTAGGTTTTTTTCCTGGGCAAGCTCCTCTGTAACCATCTATGAACGGAAATTTTGAAAGTTGAATCATCAGCTTACACAGGGGTGTGTCTTAATTGCATGTTCTAATATCTTACGCCACTGCAAATACTTCTTGTCAGGTCACAGTAAACTGTTTTTTAACGCGTGCTCCACGACTAGGGTCCCTTCCCTAGTGCACACCTAGGGTGCCCTTCCCTAGTGTTGTATTTCTGCTCTAACGTTGAAACAGGAGCAGTTCCTAAAGGAGAAGGTTAAGGTCAACGGGAAAACCGGCAACTTGGGGAACACTGTTCACATTGAACGCCTCAAGAACAAGATCACGGTGACGTCCGAGAAGCAGTTTTCTAAAAGGTCGGCCTAAGTTTCCTTCTGTTGTGTTTGTACAATGATGTGTGTCAACATTGCAAACTTGCACAGAGAAAGTTCTGGTCTTACTGACACCTGTAAATGTTAGTTACAAACATGATACAGACAGACTTTGTCAATATTAGCAATTAAAACTGCCATCTGTTTAAATCGCTAATTGGCACTCCTTCTGATACAGATATAGTAATGCCTAGATGCTTAATATATCTTCTTAGCTGTATATTAAGCTAAGATACGCTTTCAGAAAGCCTGTCTGCATCTATATCATGAGCAGTTTTCACTTTAAARTGTGTATTAAAATATGCATATGCAAAATGTGTATATGGCAGAGGAATACCTTAAGTCAAATGAAGCCCTAAGTGGCTTGGTGTGTTAGGAGTGCAATAGAGGAACATGCTGGTCAGAGCAGAGGTATGGTTTGTTCTTCTAGCCTTTAGTTTGGTGGTACAGCTGTATTCATATGTATTGAGTGAGACCAACATTTGCTTTCCTGTGCTTTTGAGTTATTAATATTGTGCTGTATAGCCAAGTAGTATCAAAGTAACAGATTTTATGAATTTATTATTAAAAATATGTATATTCAACACCAAGAAAGGAATTGTGGATATATTTTATACAGATATATGCAATAATTTCTGATTTCTGGATAGAATTGGTGTGCTAAATGGAGTGACCCCCATATCTAAAATTTATACTGTTTGTGACACTGCCAGAGCCACATTGTGGATGGAAGGCAGACAGTAAGAGTTGCTAACTGAAACTGTGACTGAGTTCTAAAGTGAAATTGCCCTTTTTCAGGTACCTAAAATACCTCACAAAGAAGTATCTCAAGAAGAACAATCTTCGTGACTGGCTTCGTGTGGTGGCCTCTGACAAGGAGACGTACGAACTGCGCTACTTCCAGATCAGTCAGGACGAGGAAGGATCGGAGTCTGAGGAATAAATGAAGCCTCGCTTTATGCTCAATACAGTGTACAAAAGACTACAACATCTATTTATGAGAACACTTTAACTTATTGGCTAATAAAGATTTTGTACTCTGTTTGACAGAGCCTGCCTAGTTTACTAGTGTTTTTCTTAAATCATCATTGAAGGCGGCCTGGGGAATTACTTGATTTGCGGTTCTGCTTCTGCTGCTAAAAACTGAAGCTGTTCAATATGTCATTATTGAAAGTCCAGCAGAGAAGAACGACCCTTTTGACCATAATAATGTAGGGCAGATGCTGCATCAAYGTGTTTAATTGTGTTTATACAAATTCTGCTAGAGTGTTTGAGACCAAAAGCACCAACTGCTTTTGTTAATTTACATGAAGCTATTTATATAATATGGGGTTCTTGCTTCTAACTTTTTGGGTTAAAAACAGGCTTAAGTGTTTGAAAGATTAAATACTTYGTTCATTTATCTAAAACAGTAATTCCTTGTACTGTTGTTACCTGTAGCCACAAAGCAGAATGGAGCATATCAGGGATAGGTATTTCAGCTAGAGCTGTTTATAATTCACATTTAAGGAGCCATGGACAAACCTCATTGCCAGCATCCCTAAGTATTACAATGTAAAAGTTAAAGGAAGCAAGATGTGCCTTAGCGTTGCCAGTGAAATGAACCACACCAAATCCATATGGATATTTGCAATTGAGTCATAATATATCTTACGGTTCTTCCTGTATTTTAACATCTGGGAGTATTTCTTTAATCCTAATACTTTTCCTTCAAGCTTAAGTGACTGATCCTTCATTTAAAGCAAGTCCCTTCAAATCCTCAAAGTAAGTCCATTCGTTTATGTAATATGAAGTGAGATTAAGTCAGTTTTCTGCTAGCAGAGTGGTGTTTGTGATCCTGCAGTTGCAAACGCTGCATGCATATCCATTTTGGTTGTACAGGGCTGTATAGGTTGGATTTTTAAACACAGCAGTGGATTAACATATAATCATGGAGAAAAATCAATAGATGCATGAGGGCTGTGATATCAAACTTCATACTTGAACAGGTTTGCTGGAGTTTGCCTGGTGAATTGTTTATCTTCCTGATGAATTTTTTGGTTTTCTTTTCAGCACTGTTTTTGCTGGCAAACCCCTCAAGGGCAATTTTTCAGGGAGCTGCCAGTGCACAAACCAACGTATTAACAGATGTGTGTATCCCACCTGTACTTCCTAAGTCTAAACACGGAGTGTGGAAGGGGACATAAACCTTGTCAGAAGCCCCGGGGGCTCGTTTGTCATTTTTTAATTACACTGGAGCAGCTGTTGGCGCAGTTGGCCAGGGGAGAGGGGGCGGCTGTGCCTGAACAGTGGCTGCTCCTGCAATTCCTGTCATGCTGATTTGTTTCATTTTCCTCCTCCAGAACTAGCACAAGTCGGGGAGCAGCGTGTCCGACCAGCTGTGGTGCCAAGGATAACTCCTYTACTTAGGTATGTTGAGCTTTGTATACAAATGTATTTGTATACATGTGTATAGATTTGTGTATACATTTACATGTGCAAAATGTGTGCATTTGTGTACATTAGTACAATGTGTTTGTTCAAATAGTCTAAAACACCCCAAATTGTGCCCATGCAGTCCAGGGGGAACCATGTACTTTCTTTACTGAAAATCCAAATGATTGCTAGTGATAATTATAATACTATATTTAAAAAAAAAAAAAAAAAAGTAAATTGCAGATATTTGAAAGTTTTTGCCTGCTGTCTGGCTGCCCTTAGGTAAGCAAGGAACACCACGACTAACACTTGTATCTCCTAATTCMTCCCCGCCTGTTTTTCAGAGCTGTGCATTTATGTGACAGCACCTCCTTTAAACCAGGCTGACATAACAAAAAAACCTCCCGATTAAACAAGAAAAACAAAATCAAAGCTAATAAGCTCATGCTGCCTTGTTTCTCCTTCCTTTTAAAGCACACTGGCAGTTACATGTGTAGTTATATAGCAGGAGATACAGATTATCATTAGCTGAAAGATGTGAAAACAAAGCCTGGGTTTTCAAGCAAAGCCACTTACTGCACAGTTGGGTTTTGAGGAAAACTGCCAAAGTGCTTGTGTAAATTGCAGCGTTCTCTGCCTAATTGCAGAGAGGGTGGCATTGAGGAATTCTTTTCCCTGATGCTCGGAAATATGTTCAGTTTTGCCAAACCAGAAACCAGGTTTTTGATAACTTTATAATAAGAGGATGCTTTGTACATTTAGGATAGGAAAAAGAGCATTTTATATATGTATTTGTATGTGTGTGTAGTGTAGAGATATAGAGCTTTTACATTTAAATGGGATATTTGCAATGCATTTAGAGTAGGGTTGTGATTTTTTAATGTCACATGGAAGAAAATAGCTAAGATACATTAACCGAAAAAAAAAATCCTCAAAAATGCTGATTCTCTCCTGGTTTCATGTTTCACAGTTAGAGAGGCCAAGTGTAGTATAGGTTGCAAGCCAGGAAGCAGACTCTGTGTTCTTGTGCACAGAGGTAATTAAATYGATACTGATTAGAGCCAAATTGGGCTTTGGTTCCAAGCAGGCTGATACGAATCCTGGAATTGTCTGTGTTTAGGTGGGAATTTCGGGTTTTTAGAGGTGCTTCCCCAGGGAGCCCACAAGCTCCCAGCACCCATAAGCACCTGAGCCCAGCGACCACTCCGTGGGGTTTCGAAACAGCTGAGGTTACATCTCCCACTCCAGGCATCTTTCACAAAATGATTTTGTTGCAATTTGCCACATCAGTTTATGAGACCTCCCACACATGGAAAATTTCAATGTCTGTCAGAAAAGAGAAAAAGAGAGAAAGAAACCAAGGCAAAAAAATCATTTATAGGAGAAAGAACTAAGCAGCTGTTGTCAGAGCAGCGCTACCAGCTCCACGTAGACTATTTATGTGCGAGCAGACAGAAATTTTTCTGCACCATCAATCTCTATCGTCTCCACTGCAGCAAAACTGTGTTTGACTTCCATTTAAAAAAAAAGGAAAAAGCAGGATTTTACCAGTCACTGCTGGTAGATGTTACTTTTAAGCATCCTTGCATATCCAGATGCTTTCTTTTTGCCTGCCCTCTGGCCTGTGATGCCTTTGGCAAGCAACCTTGTGCATCCAGAATTGCTAGGCTAGAAATAAAAAGGTAAATAGCAGGAAATACCCCAAAATGAGTTGTGATACTAGGGCATATAATAGAGCCAGCATTGGCAGGTATTACAAGAGGCACAGACTCTACATAGTTGCATAACATCAGCACAGACTAATTAGAAACAGAGAGGACCATGGAAAAATAAATATTCAAGTAATAGCTTTATAATGTACCCAACAGCAGGAGATAGGCTTCAGTGGAGTGAGTGATCTGATTACACCAAATATAGACAAAAATAGAGGGGAAAAATTGTTTCTTTTTAGAGATGAAAAGCAGAATGAAGGATTCCTATCACCCAGATCAGAAAGGCTCACATTCCTCGTCCCGCTCGCCCTGCTGCGCTTCCGTATTGGGTTTCCTCCGCTCCTGTTTTCCAGCCCTCTCCCTTTCCGCTGACCAGCCCCGGACCCCCTGACCTTGAGCGTTTGCAGCAGCACTCCAATAAACACCGGTGTGAAATGGGCTCCAGCCGCAGGGAAACGGCTGGTTTGGCTGCAGGGACGAGCTCGGGGCCAGTGGGCTGCGGTGATTCACGGGTGGGCACATCCATAAATCCCCTGTTTATGCCCTGTTGGTGCCTTTTTGCCTCCGAATCCCTCTGCTCTGGGGCCCAGTGAGCTCACCCGGCATCAGCCCGGCATCAGCCCGGAAGGATTTGCAKTGACTGTCCATCCACCCTGGATTTAAACAAGCAATTGAGAGAGAAACGTTTTACTAGTCCATTAAAAACCTTAAAGCAAGACAGTTTAAACCTCCCAGCACTGAATCATTAAACATGATTTATCTAAGTTTTGTTACAACATTTTTTCCATTATGCTAGGATTCCGGTGGTGATTTTTAATAGGAACATGCGAATGTGAGCTTTTTTGTCCTCCCTGCTGCTGCTGCCACCACGTCGACTGCCGTGGGACCGTCCCACCAAAGGGTTTGGTGACGTTCAGAGGTGAGAGCTGGCGAGCGGGGCCACACACTCGCAGTTCTGCTACGTTTTCGCCACAAAATGCTTTCCTCAGCCCTCCTAGAATATTTRTAGTTAGAAATATTTAGAAAATATTTCCCCTCTTGGGAGAAAAAGGCCTGCAGAGACAGATTGTTTTTGCTGATGCAGAGGGCCAGGTGCTGTGCAGCTTCCAAGCTTTTCTCATGATCACTCTTTGAGAATTGTTCATTTTCTGTTTCTCTTTTATTTTCTCTCTTTTTTTTTCCTCTTTCTTTTTTTTTCCCCTCTCACTCTTTTTCCTCTTTTTTTCTCCCCCCACTAAATCAGCCCAGGTCCTGAGGCCCCTGGAGGGGACGTAGCCACCTCCTAGGCATCTGTCTGGAATGGGACCATGGATGGAAATAGCCCAGGGGAGCTCTGGGACTAAAACCTGCCCTTGAACACGGCAACTCAAGAGGAAAAAAAAAAAAGAAAAAAAAAACCACTTTGGTTAATACAGATGGGGGAAAAAAGGAAAGGAAAAGGGAAAAAACAATTAAAAGCATTGAAGCAGGTGGGAAGATAACCCAGGGGGCAAGGGGAGGCTGCAAAGTGCTGATGAAAGCAAAGGAAGGAGCTGCTCATCACGCCGGGGCACTTTGGGGTGCTCCTGGTGCAGAACACGGCCGCTTCTTCACTCCCAGCACTGTGGGGACTGCGTGCTCAAGGAAACCTGGAAGGACCCCAAAACTCCTGATGCYGGCTTAAAAATCATGGCATTAAATACCGCGTTATTTTCAGCTCCTCTGCATGTGGAGGAGTTGATAGTTCCCAGTCTCCCGGTGCCGTTGGTTCCGGCGCAGAGCCCAGAGCAGCTCTGCAAGCCCAGCAGAAGGTGGAGCCAAACGGAGCGGTTATCGCACAGCTCCGAGCCCTGCAYGCCAAGGACGGGCACACAAGCTGATATTTATGGCCACATGTGCTGACCTGAGCTTTGCTGAGCCACAAGAGCAGCCGGGACACCG